AAAAATTAATTTTAAATCAAAGGAACCACTGTATGCTAGACAAATGGTTGCCTTAGTGTTCTTAAATAAATACTATTAGAGAATTAAAAATAATTTGGATACTGTAGTGGAAATTGGTCATTATTTGGGCCACCTGAATCTCCCGTATTTAGAGAATTCCTCACCTTGTAAATTTCAGTGGTAAGGAAAGATGTCTCCCATAATGGAGGCCAAAGATGTCAGATAATCATTGTCTCGGCATCCTTTGCACCTGGCATGCAGGCTTGTGACTGAGGCTTTTCAGTCAGACGTATCTGCTGGACTTTTGACTCAGACCTGAGGATACAAGCAACACTCTCCCTCCCTCTCTCTCTCTCCTACTGGGAGGAGAGATTACTGCAATCTACAATTTCCAATGTAGAGGAGGCTAAAGGGCAGACTGCGTGGTCTACTGCTTGATGTCTATGGCACCAACTGTAGGGGGACCACCTTCTCATGGTTAGCCGAGCACTTATGCCAGTTTCAGCATGGAAATCTCTGAATTCCTGGAAACCATTCAGCCCCAGGAAAACCAGGATGGTTGGTTATTCGAGCCAACTCCCCCATCAGATTAGTTCTATGGGTGATTTATCTCTCCTGCTTCAAGGCTAGCTTTTCAGCCCTCCCAGCAATTCTGCGAGCCACCTAATATCATTTAAAAAATTATAGAAGTATACTCTTATATCCTTTTAATCTACTATTGATCTGCTTAAATCAGTGAGAGTTGTTCTCTGTTATTGCTACCAAGAACCTTGACTGAAACAGATACTTTTGTGTGTAAGCAGTTTGGAAACCTGCGTTTCATGATGACCCTATGAATCGTATTGATTTGATTCGGCTCATAGGCTTATTACAGACCCCATTTGATGTTAGTGAAACCTTTTTAATATTTTGAAAGGTGCTACAAAAGCATCAATAATGATTATTCTTACTGTATTTTTTAAATCCTGAGATATTTCTGGTGGTTGAGACTATCATGAACCATCTTCCCTTGATAATAAGATAAACATAGACAGAAGTAAAGTTGCTCACAGAAAATATTTGAGTTTCCCCACTCTACCCATCCTATGACCCCCAATTTATGAATGCTCTATCTCCAGATAATTTTTTTTTTCAAATGGAGGTACTGGAGATTGAACCCAGGTCCTCGTGCATTGCTAAGTATACACTCTACCACTGAACTATACCCATCCCCTTCCAGATGAATAATTTTTACAATAAAAGAAAAAAAAAGAAGGAAGTAGTGACCTAAAAAATCTTTGCTCAGTTATTCATTTTTGGAGCATATGTTAAAGTTCTTTGTTTTTTTCTCCTAATAGTTAGTCATCCCTGTTGAACATATGTACCTCTCATTCAACTTGACCTTCAGGACATCTTCATACTCCTGCACTATGATTTTTCATCCTCTGGAGAGAAAAGGCTCAGTGAGGATACTCCTGTTCATAAAATGGTTATTAAAGTGATTTTATAGTGCTTGCTTTAGCAGCATATATACTAAAGTTAGAATGATACAGAGGAGATTTGCATGGTCCCTATGTGAGGATGACATGCAAATTTGTGAAGCATTTCATATTTTTTAGACTTAGTCTAGTGACTATTTGAATATATATGAATATATGTAATTACTCTGATGTACACCTAAAACTAATATGATATTGTGTATCAATTATACTTCAATAAAAATGTTATTACATAAAGAGTACATCTTTATCAAAGGAAAATAGAAGACACAAGAAGTTAAATAGAAATAAGCACCCATAATTCTGCCATTGATAACGTTTTGGTATTCTTTTTCGTAAGCATTCATGTCTGTAGCTATGGAAGTTTTAAAAATTTGAGGTCAGACTACACATACTATTTCAGAACCTACTTTATTTTTAGTATTGTGAATTTCTTTCCATGTATATGCATATAGGTGTCATTTTAAATGATTGCACAATTTATAATGTATTGAAGTATCATCCCATTTCATCAGTGAACTCTTGGACATTTTTTTGCTCTATAAATAATACTATTAAATTATATGTCTACCTTTGAACATCATTTTGATTATTTCCCCAAAGTAAATATAAGAAGTAGAATTTTTACATCAGAAGCTATGCTCATTTTTGAGACTTTTATTATATTTTGCCAAAGTGCTTCCCTGTGAAGTCATACCCTTTATGCTCCCACTAGTCACCGATGAAACTGTATTCTTCCACCCTCAACAACACTGAGCATTACTGTTCTTTTAAATTTTCATTTATTTGATAAACAAAAAGGTAGCTCATTATTTCATTGGTCGCTAGTGAGGCTAAACATTTTAATATATTTTTTTGCCTTGTGTTTTTTCTTTTTTATATTATCTGCTCCTATAAAGGTGTACGTTTTCTTCAGCGTGAATGCATGAGATTAACCACTCCATTCTGTCATGAAACGCAGAGAAGTAAATTCAAATTTAAAAAATTTATCACTCCCTCCAAGAACTGTCATTATTTGCTTTGTCATCATCACCTAGCTATTTGGTTTGTACAAATTACTTCCTCACTTAAATAGGTTTCTAGTTCATTTTTACTCTTTTATTCCCTTCTCAAGAAGTCCTTAGATTTTCAAAATCTGTTTTTCCTTATCCCATGAAGTACCATAGTAATAATATTATACTATTTATTTTAAATAGAGACACTTAGGAGTTTAGATCTTATATAGGCAGAAGTCAAGTGGGTAGTACTAAAATGCAATTATTCTAATCCATTTTCTCTTTAAAAAAGATTGTCACTCTTAGAAAGTACATCTTTTCTCTTTTTCTTCTATTTGAGGAACATGAAAAACTATCAAATAAAATAGTTACAATGGTGGTATTTGTCACAAGGTGGGAGTTGAGAGAAAATGTGGTATCTTTGCAGCAGTATTTGCTGCCTGTTTCCCAAGTACTTCACTGTATTTTGCTGACCCTCATGTTCACTAGTGTCTCAAAATCTATCATCACCCACTTCTAAAGCCTACCTGGTGGGCGCTGTTGAAGGCTGTTAATATCTGTCACACCAGAGAGAGGAGAGTAGGAGAGAAACTCTTCAGGGGATCTTGGTTGGCTTCTATATCTTAGCTCTATTTTTAACTCTCTGCAGTCAATGTTGATGACATTAGACATTTGCTTTATCTCAGTGTGCTCAGTCACCCTTTCTTTGGCTCATTCCTCTCACACTTTAGTTACAGCCTTCTCCAAAGCTACACCCTAGGCTTAGAGTGACCATATGCTCTCTTCTTCTGGAGAGTCCCAATTTCATTTATACTGTCCTGTTGCCAAATCAGATGTCAGACCATATGCTTTATATTTTCTTTGGGGAAATATATTCACCTATTTATGCTTCAGTTCCCTAAACTCTACTCATCAAGATTTCTATTGGTTTTGCTAGACAGTTTATGAAAAATGTTATTAATCCAAAATGCAGTTCAGATGTCTTCTCCTATAGAAGCATTCCATCAGAGCCTTTCTTCCTTAGATGCTGTTCCTATGCGCTCCCAGAACTCTCTATTCTTCCCTCTGCAGGGCACAACCCAAGCCTCCGATTTCCATTGCCCACTCGTTGGAATCGCTCTCCTTGGTATATTTTGGAAAATGAAGGGTAAGAGGGGTGGCTCCACATCTATTATGGATTCACCCAACTGCACTCTGCTACTCAGAAAGGCATTCTCTGTTCAGTAAGAAAACACCCTTCATTTTTCTGCTGCTAATGGTTTGTTTCAATCATAGATTGTAGTCCACAATCTCCTTCCCCCTCCTGATAGTCTGTGGATCTGAGAATCCCAGGGCAGCACATTTCCCCATGTCGCATGTTTCAGTCTATTATAATACCACAGGAAAGGGATGGGGTTCCAGGTGCCCTTTCTACACTAAGTTCAGTTACAAAGTCTAGAGTCTATAAAGAGCTTTGGTATTCTGAGGACTTAGGAGACAATCATCAGATCAGGCATACATACACACATTGATCTCCCAAGGACAAACATCAATTTCCAGAGCAGTATCAATAAGGAAGAAAAGAAATATTTTCTTAATTTTTCTATATAACACAGCCCTCGCACACAATGGAGTTAGAATTTTACATTATAATGCAGAGTAGCTCTTTAATTATCTTTCCCTTCCCCTGCCTTTTTAAAAAAATTGATTTACAATATTGTGCTAGCTTTAAGTTTACAGCAAAGTAGCTCAATTATATATATTTTATATGTATAATATATATTATAGAATAGAAATAACAAAATAATACATATATATTCTTTTCCAGATTCTTTTCCATTATAGTTTATTACAAGATATTGAATATAGTATGGTGTATAGGAGTGTGTATCTATTAATTCCATATTGCTAATTTATCCCTCCCCTCCCTTTCACATTTGGTAATCATAAGTTTAGTTTCTATGTCTGTGAGTCTGTTCCTGGTTTGGAAATGAGTTCATTTGTATCATTTTTTAGATTCCACTTATAAGTGATATATTTGTCTTCCTCTTTCTGACTTACTTCATTTAGTGTGGTAATCTCTAGGTCCACCCACATTGCTGCAAATGGCAATATTTCATTCTTTTTTATGTTTGAGTAATATTCCATTGTATGTATATGTATATGCACATCTTCTTTATCCACTCATCTATTGATGGATGGTTAGGTTGCTTCCATGTCTTGACTACTGTAAATAGTGCTGCTATGAACATTGGGCTGCATATATTTTTTTGAATTAGAGTTTTCTCTTGAGTGACACTGCTGGATCATATGGCAACTCTATTTTTAGTTTTTAGAGGAGTCTCCATACAATTTTCCATAGTGGCTGAACCAATTTACGTTCCCACCATCAATGTAGCAGAGTTCACTTTCCCCCACACCCTCTCCAGCTTTCACTATTTGTAGACTTTTAGATCATGGCCATTCTGACTGGTATGTCCCCTCTCCTGCTTTTAAATAGGGAGTTCCAAGTTGACCAGAAATAATAGACCAACTGCTATGTCTAATTTCCTCCTAATGGATGAAAATGTGATATAAACTGTGACCCTTCTCTGCAGAAAAAAAAATACACCTAGCCAAGGCTATGTAGAATGAAGAATTTTACATAGTTTTAGTGTATCTGTGAATCTTTAGAAGACTTCCACATCTCAGGATAAGGATTTTGGTCATATTTATATGTGTGGTAGGCAGTGGGGAAGCAGATGTTAATTAAAGAATCACACAAATTACCACTGTAATTTTAGGTGCATAACAGGTTGAGTTGCCTTAGGCAGAGAGGTCTCAGAAGGCTTCTCTGGTAAAGTGATGATTGAGAAAAAGTCAACCAGAACGGCAGAGAGTCCATATAGAAGAAACAGCATCTACCAAAACCCTCTGGCTGGAAGGGGTTGGCATATTTGGGGAATGGAAAGGCCAGTGTGGCTGAAGTACAGAGAATGAGGGAGAGAACTAGTGAAAGTAAGCCTGGAGAGAGAGGAAGGTTATGAAGGGCCTTGCAGACCAGTTAGGGAATTTGGTCTTTATCCTAGGATTACTGGGAACAGTTCTTGGTAGAAAGTTGATATCTAGCTTTTGTTTTGAACACAGCCCTCTGGGTATAGTGGGGAGAATGAATCAGAGGGAAGCAAAAGTGGATGGGGAGAGATCGGTTAGGATGCTGTTGAGTCTAGTCCAGGTAAAAGAGGATGGCAACTTGAAGAAGAGAGATGGCAGTGGAGTTTTCCATGGAAGTGTCTGGGTTCTAGAATAGTCCAGAAGTGAAACTGACAGAACTGAGAGAGGAGTTGGAAAATAGAACAGGTAAGGGAGAGGGAAATGTTAAGAAGAGCATCTAGCTTTGGGGTGTCCACAACAGGTTAAATGGTGGTACCTTTCAGAGAGATTATGTGTACTAATTAGGACCAAATTTTGGTGCGAGAAGCTCCTAGGTTCATTTTGCATTTGTTGAAATTGAGATGCCATTAATTCTTCCACTTGAAGTATGTATTAGTCTTCTCAGGCTGCCATAGCAAAACACCACAGACAGAAAGGGTGGCCTAACAACGGACATTTTCTCATAGTTCTGGAGGCTGGAAGTCCATGTTCAGAGTGCCAGCAGGGCTGATTTCTGGGGTGATCTCTCTTCCTGGCTTACAGATAGCCACCTTCTCACTATTTTCACATTTTTTTCTACGCACACACAGAGAAAGAGAGACTGTGAGTAAGCTCTGGTGTCTCTTCCTCTTTTTATTAGGACACCAGTTGTAGAGGATTAAGGTCCCACATGTATAATCTTATTTAACTCATTTATGTCCTTAAAGGCCCTATCTCCAACTATAGTCATATTGGGGGTTAGGGTTTCAACATAAGAATTTGGGGAGGTGGGTGCACAGTTCAATCCATGACAAAGTGTATTACATGATAAATAAAATCACAGACTTTCAAGTCAAACAAAATTGGGCTTAAAAATCTGGCTCCCGCAACCCAAGAAGTCCATATTACACATAGCATGGGTAAATAAGTTGTGATATATCCATGCAATGGACAATTACTGAGCCATGAAAAGGAATAAAGCATTGACACATACAACAACATTGATGCATCTCACAATAATTATGCTGAATG